AGGGAGGGGGAGGAGGGAGGGCGGGCCACCAGAAGAGAGAGGCAGCGCCTGCGCTTGCGTACTTAGCTCCGCCCGCGGCTGTAGGAGCGCGGAGAAGCGGCGGCGGGAGGAGACGAAGGCGGAGCTGGACCAAGAGCCAATCAGGTGCCAGGACGAAGCGCTTAGGTGACAATCGTTGCCTCAGACTAGGGGGGCTCCTGACGTGAGGCGGGGAGAGGAGGGTCTATGCAAAATAAATGACGAGCCTGATGACTCCGGCCTCCCGATTGGGAGACGATTTAGCTTTAAGGGCGGGCATTTAAGATGTCTGGTTGGTGACTCGGCAAGAGAGGTCCAGCCGGAGGGGGTGGGTGGGTCTCGTTTGGGCGCATGCGTAGGGTGCACGTGTGTTGGCTCGACCGGAGCGAACAGTGGCCTTGTAGCTGTTTGAACTTTGCTAAACGAAAAGGCTACCTTAAAGATTGTTTGTTCCGCTTCACTCGCCTGTGTACTTTTCTGGTATGGCAACTATTACCTTCCATTTTACGGGATGATGATTATGAAAGTGAGAACATCAGTGGCCTTGTAAGCTTAGGTGTCGTTTACAAGAAGATCTTTAATGAGCCACTGGGTAGATAGAAGGAGATTGATTTTGTCTCAGCTCCACTGTCTACCATTATGTCTACCAAGGTCAAATAAGTCTGACCTCAGGTTCCTCAAGTGTAAACTGGATATCCTCGATCTTGTACGATTTGGGGGAATAGAGTGCTCTTGTTAACTGCCCACACAGTGGATGAGAGATAAATGATTTTTTAATAAATTTAAATAGTCGCCGCTGCCCTGGCTTGAGTCTGGATGATGATTACAGTTTATTCTTAACTTCTATTTCTGATAAAAGGAAGGGGTGGTCTATCATAGGAGTGGGAAACGAAATGCCCCGTGCTAAACCTGCTTTTACCAGTTAAGTAGCCATGGGGCCTTGAGCATGAAATGAATCTCTGTATATGAAAAGGTAGTAAAATATTTCCACTTCCTTCTTCTAAAAACAGAGGAGAGAGCTGTCACAAACACTGAGGAAATGACTCAGACATGTAGCCTCATGGGTCGATAGAGCCCAGACAAAAAATGGAGTGGCTTCTTTATCTTTTCCTTCAGTTTCCCCATTAATGGTTGCCTTTTCCCCCACCTACCCCCATTGCTATTGAATAACTAAGTCCTGAATATGTCACCGAAATAAACCAAGGGCCTTGCCCTGGCCAATGATAGGCTTACGTATTCCCCAATTATAAACTGCTCCTAACCAGCCATGATGACATCTCCTTGGGTCCCTAGGTAACTTCTGTGACACCATGTATCTTCCTGTGATGCAGACTAAAGTTGAGTAGTACTGCCCAGCACTACCATTCCTTGACATTTCTTACCAGATTTCCTTTCTTCATCTATGAAGAACTTATTTAGCTGTATTTAAGGCAAGGTGCCTTATTCAAAGTTGAGTAATTTGTGATTCTTGCCTTCAACTCCCTTATAATCTAGAAGAGAAAGTACAGAATCAAACAACTGAAATGCAGTTCTCCCTTTCGTGTGTCTCCATCAACACACCACTGTCTTGGAGGAATTAATGATCTAGGAAAATGGAGAGAAAGAACAGCACTTGAGGGCTGACACAGCAAAAATTCCCACTCCATTTTTTAGTGTGATCAGTGGCATCCTCTCAGAACTTGACCACGTATAAAAGATTCAGGTCAGGCCAGCGCATAAACCAGTATCTTCACGGTTGTGACATTCTCCTCCATGAAGCTGGCTCTTTCCTTGAATCCACTACCCTGAAACCAACAACAGCATCCCATCCCCACCAGGCACTCTTCTTAAACCTTTCCTGCCGCCCTCTCCCAAGTCAGTTACACAGAGCCCTGAATCCTGCCATCACCTCCTCCTCCACTGATAGTCACCCCACTCCCATCTCTGAAGCATCCTCCAGCCTCTCGATGAAGATGTCTTCCCTTTAACCCTCTGTGGTGTTCAGGCCTTCCCCATCTTTAAAGCAAAACAGACCTTCACTTGTTATTGCTAGAATCCATGGCAAAGAAACAGGACAAGATAGAAAAGTTGAATAACGGTGAGGACCCAGACTATTTCCAAGTATTTCAGCCCATCTTCAGAGGTTGCTAATGCTGTCCAAACATGGGAATTTCTCTCAGGTCCCTCTGGAGTGGTACAATCCAAAAAACATATTTCATTTCCCTCGGCAAAGCCCTGCTGAGCTCCAATATACCATGAGCTCAAGAGCTGGCAGAGGGGAGCCAGGTCCAGCCCCATTGTCCCTGGGTTCTTTTCTGCTGAGCTATTTATTCCAAGTTCCATTCTGCCACCTAGGCTGAAAATTCCACTCATGCTCAGCTCAAAGGAATGTTGCTCATACTGGCCAAACAGAGCTTGCCAGGAAATGGGTGGCTGGAATTCTTTTCATTTGTGGCTTCCTCTCTAACATCTGTGAGGCAGACTGTGCTACTGCCTGGACTGTCCCGCCAGCCTTTTCCAACTAGGGAGCAACTATTTACAGGTCACGTCTTCTGAGGAGGCTCTTCTGACTTTTCCTACAGGCAGTTTGGTTTCCTGACCTCGAAAGGCCCAGAGTCTTTGTGCAGTTGGTATTTGATGCCTTCCTGTGATTGCCGTGACTTATTTACTGTTTATCCATTTTCACGCATTCATTTACACACACACACACACACACACACACACACACACACACACAATGCATTTAATGAGCACCTACTATATGCCAGGAGTCACTGGGTGACGCAAATGGTTAAGTGCTCAGCTACTAACCAAAAGGTTAGGAGTTCAGATTCACCCAGTGGCATCTCAGAAGACAGGCCTGGCTGGCAATCTACTTCTGAAAGATCACAGCCACTGACAACCCTATGAAACACAGCTCTACTCTGAACACATGGAGTCACCATGATGGGATGTCTTTAACAGCAACTGTTTTGTTTTTTACTGTATGCCAGGCCCTATGTTAGGAGTTAGGGATATAAAGATAACCAAATCAGATATAGGCCCTACCCTTACAGAGCTTACTGGTAGCTGGAAGCAGACACATAAGTACACACAATTATAGCACATTGAAAGCTCTTGAAGGTAGGATGGTGTTGAGCATACAGCCTATAGCACAAGGGAGTTTGACTGATGTTTGTAAAATATAAAATATCCCCATTAGCTTTAGTTCCCAGCTTTACATGTTAACAGGGGAATGTGTGGGGATATATGCCATTTAAACATGGCTGCATTATTGACAACTGCAGCCCCCACAGGCCTCTATGCTGCACAGCATGTTGAGACTTGTCCCCAACATGTTGAGACTTGTCCCCAACATGTTGAGACTTGTCAC